TGTATTTTGTAGAAATTAGGGTTCAACTTTGCCCCCTCACCCAAGATTTTGTTGAAATGGCACCACTGCAATAAAGATTAATTATTTGTTTGTTTGTTGCTGTTAAGCACAAAACTACACAATGGGCTATCTGTGCTCTGCCCTCCACGGGTATCGAAACCTGATTTCTAGCATTGTAAGTCCACAGACATACCACTGTGTCACTGGGGACAAAAGATAAATGTCACCTATAAAAGTGACAGATGTCATCACTTTAGCCCGGTCTCATGTTGGAAACTCCTTTTTAAAAGCTATTGATAAGTACTATCAGTATAAAACGGGATTGGCTATGCCCCCCTTTCTCTACCCCCTTTTTTTACCTTTTTTGGACAAATTTGAATATATTACACTTGACAATGCTAATATAAAACCTTATCTTTGGAGCACATAGGTAAATGACACGTACTTGGTATGACGATATCAAGTAGCATAACCGTGCTCACTACTTAAACAGTGTTGAAACTTCCAAACCAATTCAATTCATATATGAAATAGAACAAAATAAATGACCTGGTATAAAAAAACTCTGATGGAAATATCTCCACAATAGTCTATAGGGAACCATACTCGGTATTAATGACGCCACACCTAATTTGTACGTAAACCAGTTGTCTTTTTGTAATGCTTTGTTCGTCTGTGTCGCTGAGCAACAAAATCGTGACCGACCTGATATCGTTTTCTTAAGTATGTGGCGTTTTACGTTTTAGTTTATGCATATACTTAGCTTGACGTAGACAATTCAAAGTTCTTTGAGAGTTTTTAAAACATACATGTTAGAGGTTAGTGAACATAATTCGCGTGTTTTTACTTTTATTATTACTTTTTTGGATAAAACACTTTTTTTTTCTCCCAAACATATATCCATTAGTCTTAACTAATGATGGAACTTGAAATTAATTTTTAGGTTTAAACTTTGTGATAGAACTTTCATCATAAGCCTTAGGTCTATTGGTTTTTGGTGCTTCATTTACTTTCGGCGTTTAAACCGTATTTTTTAGATTATATGACGTAAATAGCAAATACTTTCTGGTAAGTGTGAAATATCGATGAATTTGTGAAATCTTCTACTTACCACAAAGCCACTTGAGTAAGACAACTTCATGAACTAGATAAATCGGGTGTACTTCAAAAATTTCTGCTGGGATGTTATGGGTCAAGGTTTGGGTGATAAGATTATGTTAGTGAGGCCCTGGACTCCTACAGCCTAGAGTTGTTTATTACTACCCGAATAACTGGGGCTACATGCATGGCCTTGCTAAAAATGCTGTATTATAGAGCAATAACTGAAACGCTGAAAAGCTTTTCCAATTTCGTCTAGAATGCTTATTAACATTAGGAATGGCATGTAAAAATTGTTGATATAGTCAAAATGTGGAGAATAAATTAAAAAGTAAAAGAATAATAATTCATATAAGAGTTTGATGTGATTTTCATAATTCTATATAAAAGTTCAGAACTTTGGTGTGATACTACAATTTTTCCGTTGATTAAAAAATATTGTATATAAAAGTCAGTTGTCATTCTCTGTGTGTAACGATCATATGTGAGTCATTTTAATTTTAAGTTTGCACCATTCTTATTGATTTTTTTGAGAGTGTACTTAAAAACTGTTTTTATTTTCCCAATGTGTGGTTGTCTATCTTCTATGATGAAGGGGAAGTGTGGTGACATAGCTCGTTTAAAGAAAGGCGGGATGCCTCGTATTGTTTTTTACAATATTGCAACTCGCCAGTTTTTCACAAGTCAGATAAGGCTAGTATACAATAATGTCCTCCATTTCTCAAGAGCCTGCAGCTTTCCATACCTTTAGAGATAAAACATATGAAATGGACTTAAGGCACGAAATGGATTATATAAAAATATTGGAAAAGATAGGACTTCAAGGTCAATATGATAAAATGTATCACATGAAAAAGATATAACTATAATAACGTTATATAATATATTAAACTGAAGAATGGGTTTGATAAGAAAACCAAAGAACATAGTTACACTACCTTATGTAAAAGGCCTGACGAACAAAATTGCAAGCGTTTTCAGGAAATATGGTTACATATCTATTTTAAATCAGTCATTAAAATTAAAAACTAATTTCCTAGTACAAAATATATATTAGATATCCCAAATGGAAATATATGCGAGTGTAGGTCAAATTAAACATAGTTTAAAATATCGCCTTAACAAACGTAAATATTATATCCGTAACAATTCATTTGCACTATCGCAGAATACGTCCAGGAAACGATCCATTCCGTTCCTTGGAATGAGATGGAATTCTTGAATGAATTAAATACAAAAATGAAATTGAATGTTCGAGAGTTTGTGGAAATATTGTGTATTTAAGTAAACACATTTTGTTAAATAGCGAAGATAGACCAGTAAATAACTATTTACAGTCATGGACTAGTAATTTGAGTATATGTAAAAAGTAATAATCTTCCACCCTTCCCATCCGTGCAACGAAATAGTCCCTCAATGTTGCTGTATGTGTTAAATGTAGGGTGGAGGGAAATTATCTAATTTCTATTTCCAACTACCCAGGGTCTTCAATCCCGAATACCTACCAAGAAAATGACGATGATGTATTAAAAGTCACTCCTGATTATGGCAGTGAAATACAATTAGAAATTGTAATAAATGTTGATTATTAATGACAACATTTTATGTGCTACATTGAACTTGTGCACAGGTTTGTCACTATGTAAATTTCAATTACCATCCATAAGCAGTTTTATTAGTGTAACTCTTTCTAATAACACTGATGCACAACTACCATCATATATACTTTTAATTTTCTAATTTTATCAAGTGTTGTATTGATCCAATGAATTTTAACGTATATTTTAGGATTATGTGTTCGGCTTCATGTATATTTTGATCAAACGCAATGACAGAGATCATTCTTCATATGCTGGTGACGTTTGAAGCGTGTAACATATAGTTGTTTTATTACATCTGAACTCAGTCATTTTGAAAATAAATGCATTATTACGAAAGCCCACATGGAATGATGTACGAATGAGCTACTTAGGAGAAATTCTATAATCCGATGATACTAATCAAGTTTCTGGAGATTAATATGATGAGAGATATTCAGAGTCAATCAGTCAGAAGTATATTTAATTTCCTTATCTTGGAAGCTGAATCATGTGTACCGAGACTGCTGATATAGTCCAGGAGGTATGTAAAAGAATTTGACATAGTTGTACGTTGATGAAATATGTGAAACAAGTTATTAAATAATACCAAATGTTGTAGGTAAGTCCAAAGTCTTGAACATACTTGTAATTCTAACTTATTAAACTTGTTGATGAATTTCTCTTACTTTAGATTTTGTAACTCTTACTGTTTTTATGAGCAGGTGTTACCCAGAGGTTAGCGTGTCAGGACTGCGAATCCAAGGATTCATGGTTCGAGTCTCGTTGCCCCAGAAATACAATAAAAGGTTCGAAGCTATGGATGCGCTGAAAGAATGAAGGTCAAATTCAACTACTCATTCAGACAAGAATAGCTAAAGATTTGACGGTGGGTGCTATTAACTAGCTGCCTTCGCTCTAGTCTATCAGTTCAAAATTAAGGACAGCTATGCGTATGTAGCCTATTGTGCAGCCTTACGATAAAATTCTAAAACAAATAAGACAATATTCATTATGTCCAGTACACATACAAATCATTTTTTCATATTTTAATAGACTAGGTTTGTTAAATGCCAAGAGAATAACACAATAGAAACTGCTGAAACTGTAAGCATTCTAAAGGTATTCAGTGAATATTACCAGAATCTGATCTAGTATTATTCTATAGACTACAAAGTGATTATGTGACATTTAAACTTGAACTGCGACGTTTAAAAAGCGTTATAAAATATAACTCCCTTGAACCAATACCAAAAATGGTCTAGAAACGTGTTTTGATTATTCAAGCAATTTATTTTGCACATTCGTGGTGTTTTGGGAGTATAACTAAAACTGGAATCGTTTTTTGTACACAACAGCACTCTTTTCGGATAAAAGGTAAATATCCACCATTTTGTTCCTGTTGACCTCATTGACCTGAAATTTTTAAAAGATGAAAAGAAACGAACACAATGTTCAGTGGCGAAAACCGTCTACGTGTTCCAGGCAATTTAAAAGTTATTTATATATTTAATTTAATAAGTATGTATTTTAATGAGATACCACTTGAATAATAAATCCGATATTTACTTTTCGTTATTGATCTCGTTAGTCCTCTTTCTCAAGTTGTAGCATTTGTTAACACATTCTTTGGTTTTTATAGTTTTTTTATACTTAAATCTAATGATATGCACTTGGAATAGGAGTTTTAAGAAGAATCTCTAATTTTACTAAATGCAGTTTAAAAAGAAGAATTTGGAAATTTGAGTTCGAAACATTTATTTCAATCTGCTAAATGCTTTCATGCAAAAGAGGTCTTGCACTGACGTCAAAATTTCACATAGACTATAATTTACTCCGACATATTAGACGTTAAGTGCTTACATTCGTCTTGGGTGAAAAATTACAAATCTTCTGATATCGTGCTATCTAGTACAGTATATTGTCTGAGTTATGTGCATAAGTAGAGATATATCGAGAAACTGAGTAGCTGTGAAGTTTCGGGTCCGTATTTTTTGTCAAAGGCGATGTTTACGTCATTCACAGCATTCACATCTTTACCGATTAGTGTACTGATATGGATTGCTGTATTGGTATAAAGGAGTGCTTGACGTTCAATATGGCAGCGTTGAATTGAAAAGAAAGATTTATGACGTCATGTGCAAGACCTCTATGTTTGTTTTCTTATAAAGTTAATACAAAAACAGGAAATAGTAAATAGCAGAATGAATGAAAAAAATCACAAACTAGAAATAAACTGCTGCACAAATAAAATTAATCACATAAAAATAGAATTACTATATATATATCTACCTGTAGAGACATTGAAACATGGCAGCTTCTTACCAGAGAGTTTTTTGTGATATTTTATTAAGTACCGAGAGATGACGCTGTTTCCAGAGTATGGTTCCATCCAAGCCAATGAAATAGTCCTTCCTGTGACGTTGGTGACAGATACATTTGAGGGTGGACCAGGAGCCTCTGACAAGATACTGATATTAATTACTCTGTAGTTCTACATAAACATTTGATATATACCTTTAGAGCTTGTATTACACTTATAAATGCATTTGATGCCTTTTAGCTTTTTTGTTTATTCCACAGGTACGTTAATTAAAGTGGAAAACACTAATGTTGATCATGTTGTTAACTTTAGAAGCAAGTAATATAAAATATTACAAACAAAAGAAATGAGTGAATACGTCTTCTTTTCGATCATAAACCGACTTTATTTTATATCTACAGGAAGTATTGTTCACTTGCAGATTTTCAATCTGAAATTTGTCTAAGAAAAATTAATTATATTGTATTTTGATTTAGAATTGTTTAGTTTTTAGATTTTTTTAGTTTGAGTGCACACAGCGTTCTTTTTCATGATTTATATAAATATATACTTTGTACTTCTGTACTATCTTAGTTTTGTTACGAAACTGAACGTAATTATATTACTTATTGTATTAATTTGTGCTAGAAGCCCATAAAACAACATACTTAATATTCTTATTTTGCAAAACAACATAATTTATTTCTGCGTGTCAGTAAATTGCATAAATAATCTATTTACACTTTTAATTCTATTAACATATTATATCACCGATACACAAAAAAGGCTTCATCCCAGTTGCTTAACAGTAAGTGTGAGGGCCTAAATGTCAGGGTTCGATACCCGAGATGGACACAGCACAGATAGCCTATTATGTAGCTTTATACTTAACAACTAACAAACATAAAAAATAAATTACAGTGTTTGGGGCGTAATATTGAATTAGGGGTTTACAATTTCAATAAAAGCTATAACATGTATCTTTACTCAAATGCTGTTTCGTAGTGAGAAATATGTCATTTAGTAATTGCGAAATGTAACAGACTAGGTGAAAGATTACGTCTAAAATAGTAATGAAATCGTTAAATGTTTGTTTTATTTGGCACGTTTTTCATAGTTTTATTACCGAATAAAATGTTCCTAAGTTATCACGATGCTTACGATGGCAGCGAAAGAAAGCTCCTTAAGCCTGTATACAGACAATACGACACCACATTTGATTTCGATATGTTATCACATTCCTCTTAGTAATTTTGGATTACTGTCACTACATACAACTAAAATTTTAAATACCATTTTGATATCTCAGTTTCAGCCTAAAAGATGTCTTCAAGTAGAGAACGAAAGGCTGTCTGGACCAAAAAATGTAATTAAAATGATTTGCTATTGGAATTCTGATTTCAAATATGGCAATTAACTAAAACATTTGCAGTCAATTCTGGTGTTTCAGTAAACGTAAGGAACCTATTCATTAAATTTAAAAAAAGCACATATTTTCAGCAGTTAAAGCACCTTATTCAGTTAACTGCATTTCTGATTCACTTATATTCTTCATATGTCCATGTGGTACAAGGTAGCACTAGGATTTTTAAATTCGGTCAAGGACAAGATGAATGCAGCTACAACCAAACACATTTAATTTGATGAACAAAAGAAAGAAAATCGAATTCACACAAAGTTCATATGGGAAATTTGAATCACTTGCTCATACCCTTGGTTGGAAGTGTACCAAACTCTCCAATCTTTTGAAGATTGCGCGTCATTCACTTTTTTTTGGTTTAATTTAATTGACGAGACTATAGAGGCTTTAAGCTATACCGATTTCGGGTAAGCGCACATGCACACAGACATACACACAAGGGAGAGAGAAAATTTTATATTGAAAGGGGACAAGTATAATAAATAAGGTCTCAGTACACTTGCGATGCTTTTTTATAATTAAGTTAGTTGAAATGTAGCTTTGAATGATTTTTTTTATACGGACATACATTATATAAAATACAAATGTATAAATTTGATGAACACTTTGTCGCTTTAAATATGATATTATGAACATAATCTACTTTTGATTTCCGAAATTTGTTTTTCTTTTTTTTTACAAGAGTTTGTTTGTTTGTTTTTTGGAATTTCGCGCAAAG